TCAGGACAGAGAGAAAGGGAAGGAAAAAATAAAAAAAAAAAAAAAAGAGAGACACAATGGAAGCCTTTTCAAAAAGTAGTTACCCTAAATTTTTGTATCTTGCTAGAATTAGATGGGATTAACAAAGCTGTAAATGGGACTGCACTCCTCTCCTTGAAGTCTGACTTATTGTTCTTCCCATAGCTGAGTAGCATGCACATATCAAGTGAGGAGACAGCAACGACGCCTCCTATAAAACAATATACTACTACATTTTTATTTTCCAACTAGAAAAGGGTCAAAAGAGGAAAGAAAAGAAAAATTCATCTCCTTTAACATCTTTTAACAATATAGATACAGTTCTGGCAGCATTGACTTCCACAAAACATGAAATTTTCTCTTTTATGCCATACTGCAAGTATGCCATAAAACAATTTATTTAAACAGATTCTTTAACAGCAGCTGCTTTCTTACGGTACCCAGTTTCCAAGAGGAAACAGAATTTGCATATATTCTATTCAATGGTGACAGAAAATCTCAAACTTCATACTGCAAGCTTGCACTTTAAAATAACACATATGAGGTGAGAAACTTAAGAACAAAATCGAAGATGCTTCGTGCACACTGCCACTAAATCAGCTCTGTGGTTTCATGCACGCTGGTATTCTCTCATGTCTAATAAGGTGTACTTATATAAGTTTTTTTCCTGCCTAGAACTTCACAGTGCAGTCAAACATATCTTAGCACAGCTAATGCACGGCGTGGGATGCAAACAATGCTGCAAAGCGGATATATAAATGGGCAGTCCCAGCAGGCACAGAGGATCAGGAAAGTTTGAGGGCGCATACAGTAAAGCTCTAGGGGAACCAAAAAGCAGAAGATAAGAGCTGTTTGAAGAAGAGGAAGTCACACATTACAGCGGTGAATGGGACAAACTCAAACCTCCAGAAGTTGCCTGCCAAGCTGCAGCTAACCCTGCAGACCACCAGAAAAGAGCAACGTGGGAAGTCCAAGCTTTGAGACGTGGACAGACCTTGCTGGGAGGAGGAGGCCATTGGGTTGGTGTGGAGGGGGAGCAGGGTGGCAGGAGGAAAACACAGATGTCTGCAGAGCCAAGAAGTTGGTCCCACGGGAGGCCGCCGTGAAGTCAAACGGCATGAGTCAGAGAGTGAAAAGGGAAATGGGCAACAACACGTATGACCATTTTGTGCGCATCACGCCCAAAGAAAAAAGCTAGCCTGGGATATCCTGTGCGGGCGCAGGCTTAGAGCTGCCAGTTATTTTCATAACCATTTTACCAGGGGCGGCACGGATGCAAAAACTGAGGAACAGAAAAGACAGGTTCAAAGACTGCTTTTTTTCCCTTTCTTTTCCCAAAGGAAACAGTTAATGAGCCAAACAATAATCCAAACACATATAAAGAAGATTAGTGAAATGATAGAAAGCAGCTAAGAAGAGAAAACAAATGTAATTCATCCTTGGATGAAAACTAAAGCATTCACTGAGCCTGGGAAGAAAGGCAAAGCAAGGCTAGCAAGGGAAGCATTAGAGACCCGAGGCAGATCTGGCATTACACAGGGCAATTTTATAGTAAGGGGCAGTATACATTCCTATATATGGCAATAAGGCAAGACAAGAGACATTAACAGACTGTTACTTTCCTGCTGAAAGGACCTGTTTGGGGTGCATTCACACATTTCACACAAGATTCAGGAAACGCTGACCATTCCCATACCTTTGACTTTGACCTGGTGTTTGCTGCACTCTGGGCAGGGAAGAAGAGTGAATTCCTCCGTCTGATACATTGAATAGTCTGTGCTCGCAACCACGATCCGGTCTCCGGGCTCCCAACTACTGACATCATCCAGCAGGTTCAGTATCACTCCACCCACGGCTTCCACCTGGAAGCCTGAAATTGGGACACCTAATAAAAATGGGAGGAGGGAGTAAATACAGTAAGAGACTGTGTTCACCTCTGTATGAAACCATCTCCAGGAAGATCGTTAAGTTCTGACTAATGATAAATTTGTGAGACTTCACATATTTCAAAACCCTCTAAAGAGTCTGCTTATTTTGTGGATCTCAGAAAGAAAGAAAGGAAGAGACAGATTTAACAGTGACAATAAAAACTATAGCGGTAAAAGAAAAATCAGTAAGTATCAGTAAAATCTATAAAAAATTGATATATCAGACAGCAACAACTTGTAGATCCAACCAGCTCTGCATTTTTAAAGCGATACGTTTCTGCATCGTAAAACTTTGCAGATGTAACCAAGGACTTGGCAAGTCAAAGTAGCGGGACTTTCATTTTGTGCACAACTAAAAATGGTTTGGCAGGCTAAATCACACACACATGCAATTTCACTTTCTGATGGATTTGCCCGAGTTCAGCAATTCTAATTTCATTCAACATTTTATTTATTGCACAAGGAAGAACTGAAATAAAAGAGCAACGTGGGAAGTCCAAGCTTTGAGACGTGGACAGACCTTGCTGGGAGGAGGAGGCCATTGGGTTGGTGTGGAGGGGGAGCAGGGTGGCAGGAGGAAAACACAGATGTCTGCAGAGCCAAGAAGTTGGTCCCACGGGAGGCCGCCGTGAAGTCAAACGGCATGAGTCAGAGAGTGAAAAGGGAAATGGGCAACAACACGTATGACCATTTTGTGCGCATCACGCCCAAAGAAAAAAGCTAGCCTGGGATATCCTGTGCGGGCGCAGGCTTAGAGCTGCCAGTTATTTTCATAACCATTTTACCAGGGGCGGCACGGATGCAAAAACTGAGGAACAGAAAAGACAGGTTCAAAGACTGCTTTTTTTCCCTTTCTTTTCCCAAAGGAAACAGTTAATGAGCCAAACAATAATCCAAACACATATAAAGAAGATTAGTGAAATGATAGAAAGCAGCTAAGAAGAGAAAACAAATGTAATTCATCCTTGGATGAAAACTAAAGCATTCACTGAGCCTGGGAAGAAAGGCAAAGCAAGGCTAGCAAGGGAAAAAGGACCTGTTTGGGGTGCATTCACACATTTCACACAAGATTCAGGAAACGCTGACCATTCCCATACCTTTGACTTTGACCTGGTGTTTGCTGCACTCTGGGCAGGGAAGAAGAGTGAATTCCTCCGTCTGATACATTGAATAGTCTGTGCTCGCAACCACGATCCGGTCTCCGGGCTCCCAACTACTGACATCATCCAGCAGGTTCAGTATCACTCCACCCACGGCTTCCACCTGGAAGCCTGAAATTGGGACACCTAATAAAAATGGGAAAAACAAAAAAAAAAAAAAAAGAAGGAGGGAGTAAATACAGTAAGAGACTGTGTTCACCTCTGTATGAAACCATCTCCAGGAAGATCGTTAAGTTCTGACTAATGATAAATTTCTGAGATTTCACATATTTCAAAACCCTCTAAAGAGTCTGCTTATTTTGTGGATCTCAGAAAGAAAGAAAGGAAGAGACAGATTTAACAGTGACAATAAAAACTATAGCGGTAAAAGAAAAATCAGTAAGTATCAGTAAAATCTATAAAAAATTGATATATCAGACAGCAACAACTTGTAGATCCAACCAGCTCTGCATTTTTAAAGCGATACGTTTCTGCATCGTAAAACTTTGCAGATGTAACCAAGGACTTGGCAAGTCAAAGTAGCGGGACTTTCATTTTGTGCACAACTAAAAATGGTTTGGCAGGCTAAATCACACACACATGCAATTTCACTTTCTGATGGATTTGCCCGAGTTCAGCAATTCTAATTTCATTCAACATTTTATTTATTGCACAAGGAAGAACTGAATCAGGATCTGGCTTACCTTTATAAAGGAGCCCCTACTTTTATCGTATCAACAAAAAAAAAAAAAAATTTTTTTTTTTTTTTTTTTTTTTTTTTTTTTTTTTTTAAATGTGAGCCAATATGATTGCATAGGGCCATAGCAAAAAATATACGGGTAGTAAAAAGGGTAGTGCAAATAGCTGAACTACTTTAAAAACAGATGTCTGACTACCTTAACAAAAGTCTTCTGAGGTAAAAACAATATTGTTCAGTAATTCCAGAAGCAGACGACAACTGTCCATAGATCAAAGGTCCTCTTGAAAAACAACCAGAGGATAAAAGTAGGTGAGTGGTAGATCTTTCAGGTTCTTTATACCAGACCATCAACTTTGAAAAAAGTTGCCCAATACTGATGAGAGAACTGAACTTCACCATCATAAGGAACAGAAACTCATAACACAGATAACACTTTTCTCTCGGTTTGTACATAGTTTTCCTTTTAGGATCATAAGCAACATCTCAGAAGCTTAGATTTAAAATACATATGACTGGCAGACTGCTAAAAGAAACAAAAGGTCTGTTTCAGTGTTTAGTTAGAATCCTTATCTCTATCTAATATTCTAAAAATGAAGATGGTAATTGCCTCTTAATTGAATGCCTTTCACATACTGTACATAATTAGACCAGAATATAGATTGAGGAAACAGGCTGTACTGAAAGAATACTGTGTCCTTGTACTTAATCCAACTGCCAGGCCACATGCGTAGCAAAAAGCAAAACTCACAGCAGCATCCAGAAACTGGAACTGCAACTCACAGTTCTAGCGAAAAAAGCGTACACAACATTCTTATTTTTCCCTGGCCCACAAAGTTTTACCAAATGCTTTCCTACCATCGTTCCACTCGCTGTATGCTCTCACAACAAACTTCTGGCCATCCACGGTGAAAAATTCTTTCTGAGCAAGAGCTTTCCCACCAGTGCTGTGATTTTCATAGTTTCTCACCGATTCATTACAGGAAGAATTTCCACCACCTATGACACCAACTAAAGCCCAGGCTTGCCTGCAAAAAAAACCCCAAAGTAAATATGTAAATATAATCCCCCTAAACAAACTCTTCACAAACAGCCACAGGACAAGACAAGGAACACAGAAGGTATTTATAACCCTTCTGCTACTCTCCCAAACTCATTTGAAAAAGCAATAGAAAAAAACCCTGACATATATCATTCAAAAGAAGCATAGCTGGAAACACTTGGTTCTTCTGTATAAAAACTGGCAAATATACGATCACTTCATTTAGAAGAGAAGCCTTTCAGATACATTTTTAGCACACTGTCCAACAAGATACCTTTTTTTTTTTTTTCTTTTTTAAACAAACCACACAAGATGAGTGATAGAAGTAATACTGGCTCCTGTTTACAAACAGGTTTACTGGAGCAGAGGAAGACTATGAGGCAGCACTGACGGCTT